ACTAGAATTGTGTTTTGCCTAATCCAATAACGTAAAGCCACCGGGGAAGACAAAATATAATAAATAAATTTTTTTAATTACTTTCGTTTTATTCATTGTGTTGGCATATGCCTTTAAATTTTGTGCATGATTTCGCTGTGATATTCGGTGCTAATATATGATTATTTTCTTTTTTTCCCGTACTATGAACGGGTATTCAGCTAGTAAATAATAATAAATACCTTTAAGCAGATACTATAGCTATTGTGAAATAGCAACCAAAATGTATAAGTGAAAAGCATAAAAAAACATTTTAAAGTTTTATTAAAAAAATGAAAAACTAGAAGCAACGTTGTATTTAAAAAGTTTGAACAGTGTTGAAAAAGAATTTTAACTCAAAACATGAATTATTTAACTTCAGTAATCTTTTTTTTTTACGAAATAAATTGTGTTAAAATTCAAATATTTTTACATTTGTTTCAAATCTATTTCTTATCACTTTTATTAGCAAATGCAAAATATTTCTTAAAAAAGAGGAGAAGTTAGATTCAATTCCTCAACCACTGCTCACGATCATTTAAAATCTCTTTTATAATTAACTTTTGTGTAATACACGGAATGTGAAATGTAATAAATATATAATAATAATGTGTATAATATTATATAATAATATATAATAATAATATATAGTAATAATATACGAAATGAGCACGAAATGTAGTGTATAAAACAAGTGCAAAACAATATATTTGATGAAGTGCGTCAGAAATACCTACAATAAATAATAAATATTAATATGACGCACAATATTGAGAAATATATTAAATTACATTTAATTCAGAAAAAATTGAATTGTTTTAATATTTTGGGGGAAAATAAACAATAAGTCATTTTAACTAATGAAACCAGAAAATAACAGAAAACTTTAGAAAGTGTAAGAGTAATGTCCGTACTTATTTCTAAGATTTTTATATAAGTGAATTATGAAAAACATTTATTATGCGGTTAACAAGAACAAAAAAACCTTTTTATTATGTGTATAAAAAAATTCTCCAACATAAATTTTTTCAGTTCTAGAAGAATTTTAATTCTTAACATTTAGATAAACAAGATTAATAGCTTTTTGCTTTCTAAACTTTAAAAATACTTTAATGTCAATTTTTAATAAAAGATTAGAAACTCTTATGTGTTAAAAAGGTTTGGAATTTTTATATTACTTTCTTGGTCTCATAACAATATGCTTTGACTTTTTCCCTAATAATTGCGAAAGGCTTTTATCTTAAAGAAATTGCCTGCATTTTTTCTCTGTTATAAGTAAGTAATTATCCGATTTGAAATTTTCTTTGTAGTCAAATAATAATTTTTAATTAATCATTTTTATGCTGTCTTAAATTAATTGTCAAATATGCTCTCTTGTGACAAAATAATTAATCGATCACTATTCTTCTTTTCCCCCAAATAATAGCGTGATATACTTTTCTCTATTCTTCCATGATATTTGTCCAATTAATTTTTTCCTGCTGTCTTATGATAACTGTTCAATTTGCTATTCCGCTGTTGTTCCAAAATAATTGCTGGATTTTCTTTTCTACGTTTTCACATAATAGTTGTTCTATTTGCCTTTCCTCTAAAACAATTGCCTTTATTTTTTTCTCTCTGCAATCTCAAAATAATTTTCTTAATTTTCTATTCCTCTATTTCTCAAAAAATGGCGTATTATACTTTCCATTGCTCCCCAACAATAGTTTCCTTATAAGCTTTCCTCTGTAGCTAAAATAATTGTAACATTTGTCCAAATTTCTATTCCTCTGCTGTCCCAAAAATGTTGTATTATATTTTTCCTTGTTTCCCAACAATAGTTGTCGGATAAGCTCTTCTCTGTTCCTAAAATAATCATAATAATTGTCCAAATTTCTATTCCTCTTCTGTCCCAAAAATGTTGCATTATACTTTCCTTTTTCCCCAACAATAATTGTCGTATAAGCTTTCCTCTGTTGCTAAAATAATTGTCCAAATTTCTATTCCTCTGCTGTCCCAAAAATATTGTATTATATTTTCCCTTGTTTCCCATCAATAGTTGTCGTATAAGCTTTTCTCTGTTGCTAAAATAATTGTAATAATTGTCCAAATTTTTTATCCCTCTGCTGTCCCAAAAATGTTGCATTATATTTTCCCTTGTTTCCCATCAATAGTTGTCGTATAAGCTTTTCTCTGTTGCTAAAATAATTGTAATAATTGTCCAAATTTCTATCCCTCTGCTGTCCCAAAAATATTGTATTATATTTTCCCTTGTTTCCCATCAACAGTTGTCGTATAAGGTTTTCTCTGTTGCTATAATAATTGTAATAATTGTCCAAATTTCTATCCCTCTGCTGTCCCAAAAATATTGTTTTATATTTTCCCTTGTTTCCCATCAATAGTTGTCGTATAAGCTTTTCTCTGTTGCTAAAATAATTGTAATAATTGTCCGAATTTCTATCCCTCTGCTGTCCCAAAAATGTTGTATTATATTTTCCCTTGTTTCCCATCAATAGTTGTCGTATAAGCTTTTCTCTGTTGCTAAAATAATTGTAATAATTGTCCAAATTTCTATCCCTCTGCTGTCCCAAAAATATTGTATTATATTTTCCGTTGTTTCCCATCAATAGTTGTCGTATAAGCCTTTCTCTGTTGCTAAAATAATTGTAATAATTGTCCAAATTTCTATCCCTCTGCTGTCCCAAAAATGATGTATCATACTTTCCCTTATTTCCCAACAATAGTTGTCTGATAAGCTTTTCTCTGTTGCTGAAATAATTGTCCGATTTGTTATTACTCTATTGTTCCGAAATAATATTATGATGTGTTTTCCCCTGTCATTCCATAACAATCGACCACTTTGCTTTTGGCTCATCTCGTAAAATTATGGACCCAAAATAATTGTCAATTTTTCATTTCGTCTGTTGCCTCAAAATAATAACGTTATGTTCAAAAATAGTTGTTCGATAAACTTTTTTCTGCTGTTTCAAAAAATTACCCGTTTTGCTATTGCTCTTTCCAAAGTATTGCAGGATAAGCTTTTCTCTGTTCTCCCAATATAGTTGTCCGATATTGTTTTCTTTGTAGTCCCAAAATGATTTTATATCTTTTATTGTGAAAATTTCTGCCACGAATAATTGACTCAAGCATTAAACCAGAAACAAACAAAGAAAAGATTAAACAATAAACTGTATATTATAACTGTAATGTCACGAAACATTAAGTCATAAAATGCATTTAAAATCTATAATTAATTGCAGCATTAAATAAACCCATTTGTCAGTAAAATAATAATTTTACAGCATTAATTTTAATTATTGGACTAGCTTTAGTTTAGTAATTAGACAAGCTTGAGTTAAAAGGACGAATATAGGAAAAAAATATTAACTCAAGTTTAGGTTACAATTGATTTTCACAGTTCCATCTCATAAGTCACTTTTCCTTTTAAATCAAACTCAAGTAAGTCCCGTTTTCATACATTTAAAACAACGAAAGTGAGTTTATCTTAATATTTGACTTAAGAGTCTTCTGATCCGGTTGCTAAATATAAGGAATCGTACCTTCACTTTATGCATAAGTTTCTCATCACCGATGAGTAAAATAAAATAAAATGTAAAGCTGGATTATTTTCTCAAAATATTAAGATGAATTTATTTTGTGTTTTCAGGTAAAGGTAATTTAATGCTTAAATTTTGCAACTGTAGAGTATCTTATATTCGATATGAAATGTTGTGGAACAAAATTAATTATTACATAATATTTATTTAATTAAAGTGATTCTGTGATTTTACGGTAAATATTACTGTAAAAATTACGGTATAATAGTTTACGGCAAAAAATTTATATTACGGTAAAACGGATTTTAAGGATGATAAACCAGAAGTGTCGGTGCTTAATACCGGAATGAATTTGATCCGGAATCTTTTGCAGTGTAACGCCATAAAAAGCATCGTTATTTTATCGAAATTCAGCACCAAGAAAACAAAAGTATTCTTTCAATAAATATGAGGTTTTTTATTAGTTATATTTGTGACTATTACTAGATTTTTGAACAATAATTTTTTTTTTCAAAAAATTTTTTTTTTCATAAAAATAAAATTATGTTTAAAATTTCATACATCCGTTTTAAGTTTCAGTGAAAAGTGAAGCGTTTTAAGTGAAAAGTTTCTTGTTAAATGTCGAGCGGAAAAACTATTTGTATCATATATTTAGGTAATAAAAATGAGTTCAGACTACTAGTGTTTAAAATAGATAGTCTTTTCTTATTCAATTTTTAAAAGAAAAAAAATTNAACTTATATATATATATATATATATATATATTGTAAATTCCTCTTACAAATTTGTAATTAATATTTTTGTGCATAAACTAAAATTTCTGCAGATTTGAAATGTTTATACTGTTTTGAGAAATAATTCTGAACAAAAAAAAATCGAAGGAAACATTTCCCCGCCGGAATGAGACTTTTCCATTATTTCTTTTAACGTTAATAAGAAAACAAACAATTTCGTTTAAACAATGAGAAGACTGAATCGCCCAGCTGGTACTTCAACTGAAAGTACACATACACACCTCTTTTGGAAAAGAACCGTTTTCTTCAGTCGCGAAATAGTCTGCAAGTCTTATCTAATGTCACCATAGAGACTAAAACAAGTACGCTAAAAAGGGGATCATAGTCCACCTCAGCCCTGATAGGCATTGTTTGCTTTCACGTGACAACAGGAACCAACCGGGGAGGCTTGAAAATGACATCACCGTAAGTTGTTTCGCAAATACCACCATATTGAAAAAGTTTTCCCTTTAGCTTCCCTTTCCCAAATCTTAAGTCTCGAAAGTCGTCGTTCGATCTGTAGAAATTTATTGCTGTGTCCGAGTTGGCAGCAGTGACCAGGAAGATCCGAGGAACTCTGAAAGTCCTGAAAATTGTCCTAATTGCAGATAGGTAAGAATATGGTTTCCTGCCTACTCGTACTGATACGGATAATCAGCAACCTCAGATTAGGGTAGAACAGCAATGGCCACCCAGAAGTTGTCTTCTAATCTAGGGCCTTTCTATACAGTTTCGAAATTATAATCAGCGTTGCCTAGCTGATACGAAAAGTTATCCGCATCTTATCTAGCGTCTAATATTTACAAGACTGTCCAAACTTTTAAAGCTTTTATATCACACAATCTTCGACATTAAAAAGAGTCTTCCACATAATATTCGTTCATTAATAAAGGGTAATAATGAGTTTCGCGCCATCGAATTCAGTTAGGTGAAAGCTGAATTTATACCACCATCTTTGACGTACAGCCGCCATCATTTGCAAAAATACAAATACTGGACGGCACATTTTTAAAGCGAATACATCATGCCTCAGAGATTACAGGTATGTTTCAGATCAATATTTTTAAATTTCACTCTTGAAGGCCTATGACCACTGGTCAACTGATGTAGGCTTAAATGCTTTTAAGAAAACTTAGGAGGATAAGAATAAATAGGTGATGCACTTGTGTGGATCTGAATCACATTTGCCTGTGAGCTTTTGTGCTAACCTGAGTAGACGAATATCATGTCTTTCAGATTAAAGCAACAAATTTCAGAGTAATATGTTTAAAGCTACTACAGATTGTTTTTGACGATAAGTCATAATAAGTTATTTATTTAGACGGAGCTTCTCCATACCAGTCCGTGCTTAGTTGAGCAAATTTTAAACAGTTTATCTTAAAATCATATAAACCCATTTTATAATTTCGCTTGAAAAATATTTATAAAAATGTATCCTAATTTTTAATGGTTTTTACAAAAATACGTACTAAGAGTCAACAAATAAAGCAAAGTCTACTGTCCAGAACAACGTCCGCTTAATTAAAAGACGCCCATTTATCTAGATCGACATTACAGCTATTTGCAATTAAGCATCTGCAATTAAAAAATACCGTAATATCTCGTTGTTGAGGGTTCTGACCATTGATCAGTCATTAAGTCTTAAATATTTTACTTAAAAAAATTAACAGGAGCTTTTACAACTAAAAAGGATCAGATAATGAGAGAAAACTGAGATACTTTTATCCGTGCAAGTTCATGTTCACTTGCTCGAATAGATCATCGAGCAAATAACTCTCCTCTAAAATTACAGGTATGTTTTAAATTGTTTTTTATTTTTATTTATTTATTTACTTTAAAATTTTCACAATCCATGTCAGGATAAAGTATTTATTAAGCAAAAAAGAAAGTCAATAAATCGAAAAGAAATATGATGCATGGTTTCACTGCTAATAGTAGTCCATGCTAAGAGGAGTACAGTATAACCTCAGACAGTTTTGATACCATGTAGTAGTGCGCCCATAAAGTCCTTGTGCCCTTTTACCTGTGACCAGGCCAAAGTACACCATGAATTTACGGACACTCTGTATTGTAAAAGCATATTATTAACCGGTGATTTCACATGTTTATGTTTGATTGCATAAATTATAAATGATCAACTTGAAGTTGGATGTAGAATATTTTGCCCAAACAATGATTTAATTGTAAAAATTTTTTGAGAAATTTGTCAAATATTTGCTAAAAAATAGTCTTTTTTTTCTGTCTTTATTTAGATTTGTTCTGTGTATCGAGAATAATTTTTTAAAATTGCGTCCCGCTTTAACGTGCATTCAATAAAACGTATTGAGCTTTGTACTTTATATATGCTTGTTTGTCGGTTTGTTTTTAAACTTCACGTCAAAAAATTTATAGGGTAAATCTAGGTTAGATGACCTAGAAGAGAGATGGTCAGTTTAAATATCCCCGATATCTGTTAATATATTGTAGCAGATCCTATTTCACAGGAAGCAATTTCGCTTGTTTATCAACTTACACAAAGCGTTGCTTTTCAGGACAACAAAGAGTATGTAAAATTCCAATATTTATTTTATTTAGGGTCAAATACTTTCTGTGGATTCAGTACTTGTTGTTTTTCAATATGTTGGGTTATATTTCTTTTTGACTAGTTGGACCTTCAAGGCAAATATATAGTCCAATCTTTGTCCCTGAGTAAAAAGCTAAATAATATAGTAGTAGCTTAAGGCTATAAATTCGACGGCCATCTCATCATTCAAATTTAGGAGAGAAGGTCACAAAAAATCAAGGAGTGATTACCACTTTTTATTAATGTGTATATAGAGACCGTAGGGTCCTTATAAAATGTAAAAGTTGTTAGAAAAAGCAAGAAAATAAGATATATTTTAGTAAATTCGTATTCACTACCAAGATCAATATTTTCAAATGAATAAATCAAGTTACGAAATGCTTGGTTTCATTAATGGTTTGCTTTCGGTTTCATTTAGTTCTGTAATTTTAAGATGAAAGCTAATAAAAATAAATCCACAGCTTCTTTTCTTACAATATTGAAAACACGTTTTAACATCTTTAATGTCCATACGAACCCTACTTACTACATTCCGATTCCACTGACCTAGCATATTATCCGATAGAATCCTATAATTAACTCCCTACGCTGCTAAATTTTTATTTCTAAATCTATGGTGAAATGACCGGCAGCAGACTGTCCAACTAATTAACCCTAAAGTTTACGGTAAAGAACAATTTTTTACCTTTACAGTTTTTAAACCATTTACAACTAATATGATTTCAAAACCATAAAAAAGAAACTTAAATGGACATTGGAGATAGTTTAGTAGCTTCATGTTGCTACCATCAATGCGTGAATGAGAGTGTCGTATTCTAATAGCGCAGGGTCACAAATTGGGGAGTGCCGGGCACTGGATACTCTTCATGAGTAGACTACAACTCATGAAGAGTATCCAAACGAAAGCAAAGCAAGACTACTTTGCTTTTATAGAACTTATATAGTTGGTATTTTCGATAAGTGCCACTATATTTCCTTAATTTTGTAAATAAAAGTACATCTCTGCGGAATATCTTAGTTCACGGCGCCAAAATAGCTGTATATCATTGAAGTGCTTAATGAGTCTTTATGTTGTTGTTTTAAGTTTAATATAAGAATTAACGAACATCAATATAGCTCGACAGTTGTTGTAATTTAATTATAGATCCCTATATTTTAAGTTACGAACTTTGTATTAATTCAGAATCCCATTTAAAAAAAAAATTTTAAAAAAATCAAACCTTTTTTTAAAAATATTTTTTATTCCTTTTTAAACTGTATCAAATAACACTAGAATTTTCTACAATAACACTAGAATAGGTTTTATTATAGAATTTGCAATTACTAAAGAACACTGGAATAGGGTTTATTATCTTATTTGAATTTGCAATGTTAGGGTTAGTACAATTTTGGTTGTTGCTTTAGATTTAGAGAAACAGCATGTTTAAAAGTTATGTGGAGGCGAAATGTGTGTTCATTTGCTATCGGGAGGATTTTAACCAATAACCTGGATGCTGTAACTACTATAGTTGTAAAACTCAGTCCAGGGAGAGTTAGAAAGCGTTATATATTTCATTTGCTTAAAAGTTATTAAGATAAAGCGGAATAAGCAAAAAGTGGAATTAAAAGTCCCGTTCTCCTGACTAAGCTAATGGGATCATATTTTTCAAATTGTAACCTTTGTACTATTGAAATGGTAAAATAGTATGTCCATTGAGGTACTCACCATATAAAGCTTCATAACTCGCTTTGGATTGAGTAGTACAACTATGGTGGTAAGAGCATCCTATTTAGGATTCGGAGGTCCTTAGTTCGAATTCTGTCGACAGCCATCAAACATCTCTCTCATTCATTTCTCTCTCTCCAACTATTTTGAAACTATGCGTTTTTCTCAAAAAGGAGTACATGCTGTTTCTACTTTGAATACATGGGGTTTACAAATTCGACTATTATTTGTCTAGGAACTATTTTCATACATGTTTGCTCAATTTAAAAAAAACCATTTTCACAATATATTACAAACGTGTCTAAAAAAGTGAAAACCATAAATAATATATTTTTATTACATTTTATCTGCATAAATTGTTGATAATTCGATATTGTATCTTCAAATATCATCCTAATTATTATTCACAGTTCATCCTAGTTATTAATTACACTAATTTAAAAAAATTAATTGCACACAATAAAATTTTTTTTATAAAAATTAAAAATATTTTACTTATTTATTTACTTTTCGATCATAACAAACTGAAAATACATTCAGTTATAATAGGTTTTGTTTGTTCCTTAAAATGTACAATAGAAAGATGGATCTTATTATAGGAATAGTATAGCTGTTTAGGTTTTACGCCCTTTAACTATTTTAAGCGTGCTTACTATTTTACTTTATGCTTTACACAAGAAATAAAAATATAAATTATCGAACATGTTTTACAAAAATTTGCAAACATTTTACTTACAAATAACAGTAAATTTTAATAATACGTAATAAATTTGCTGCAACTTTCATAGGGTGTGAACACTAACCATATTTCCATTAAAGATGAACCATATTGCCATGCCAGCAAGAAAAGGAAGTACAGTAATATGGTGTAACTTAGCGCCATATTAAGGTTGCAGCAAATTTAAATTATGTTATGGTTCAAAACATTCGAAATTTTCTGTATACAAAGGTAATGTGGAGGAATTATAAGATTTGTAAACTATTTCTTTTTTAATTCCAGTAATTACTATTTTTTTTGATTTACAATTCTCGTATTTTTTATAGAACACTCACAGCTCCTTTTTTCTTTGTTTGTTCCTCTTTCATTTATTTTATGATCTTTTCTTCTTGCTCTACCATAAAACCGCCTTCTCTGACTAATCGTTTTACGATCTAAATTCTCCTCTCCACATCTTAGCACCCCTAACAGCCAACCACCTTTATTTCAAACATTTGCAATACGTAACATAATAAACCTGTGCTTGTTTTTATATATCCTTCTTGGTTCCGGATGCACATATTTTCCAATAAAACCCATTCATTTAATGCACAATATGAAGAGTGATATCTGAACTTATGCAGCATATATGTACTGCATTATGTATATTTTACATAAAATGCTGATTCGCTAAATATACGACATCTATTGATTAAGTTATATACATCTATTAATTAAGCAATAATTCCTTATGGCAGTTTCCAAAAAATGTGAAAACGTTCTCCAAAAAAAAAAAAACATTTTAAGAAATAGGGACAAAACTCATCAGTATCAGGCAGCTTCAAACGGTGAGATGCAGTTTTTTGTTTTTTAGATTTATTTTGAATACATTTTTTTAAAATTTCAAACAATCAACTGATTATTTCTATTTATATTTGCATTTATCTATAAAATCATTCAAATATTTAGTTGCAGCTTCAGTTGCAGTTATTTCAACAATGCAACAAGTCTAATGTCTTTTAACGTATTTAACTTTCAAATAAGCTTTACATGCTATTATAATTTTTTATAATGATCTGTCAGAGTCAGAGTCTTTGCCCTGAGAGTTAATTTTAAATCTTCAGATAGAATTTTCATTATTTCTTTCCTCTTCTTCCCTTTTTTTTTCTTCTTTCTAACATGATATTCTCTTAAATGTGATTCTTCCAAATCTCGTTCTTTAATGAACTATATATGATATTATTATATTTTTGATAGTTGTAAGACTACACTTGCTTGTGCTTTGATCAGATAAGCTATCAAATATTTGAATATTACTCAAAATTGACATAGCAACTACGAAAAGAATTTTAACATTGATAATATTCTCTAAAATATCAGGAAAACATTGTTCAATGAAGAATGTTTTCCTTTGTTCATCATTGAACATTGTTCTTCAACATCTCACAAATTGTTCATCATACAAATTTGTTCTGGCACCATCGATTTGATTGAGAATAAAATAACTAATATTAAACAGAATTAAAAAGTAGAAGTAGTTGAAAAAATTAACACCTGAACAAAGTGAAAACGCTGCTTAGGTACAGTGCACAAGATGTTTTTCATTTTCTAATAAGTATATTTACTTAATTGAACATTATTGCATTTCCTAATAATTCTGCCTATGCATATTACCAAATCAAGTTAACTTCACACTTTCATTCCCTTCTGATTGTTCTTAAAAATAAAAATTTAATTGCTTGGTAGCAAACATTTTCCCAAATTTCTTCTTTATTTTGCACTAAATTTAAATTCGAAATCGGAAATAACTTTTAGTGAATAATTATT